AGTGTACATCATTTATAATTCATACCTTATATATTCATACATAAAATCACTATTAGCAACTTTATAAAGATAGTAAATATTTAATAACTATGTATACACACTTATATGATATGTGTTGTGTAATTAATCTTCACAATAATCTTAATAAACTTGGGTGTTAATATCTCAAACATACAAATGAGAAAGATGAAGATTAGGGAGTTTTTTTGTTTGTTTTAGAGACAGTGTCTCACTTTGTAGCCCTCAGTAGAGTGCTGTGGCATCACAGCTCACAGCAACCTCCAGCTCCTGGGCTTAGGCAATTCTCTTGCCTCAGCCTCCCGAGTAGCTGTGACTATAGGCACCCCCCGCAATGCCCGGCTATTTTTTTGTTGCAGTTTGGCTGGGGCTGGGTACGAACAGGCCACCCTCAGTATATGGGGCTGGTGCTCTACAGCCTGAGCCACAGGCACTGCCCCAAAGATTAGGGAGTTTAAGTAACTTTCCTGAAGGTTAACAACTCTGTATAGCTAACACGCACAACGTAACACTAGTGTACATACCCTGTATACTCCCCTACACTTGAGTGTGGCAGGGCCAGTGAATGGAATGGGATTTTACTTCTGTGATTAGGTTTCCAATACATTAACTTTGAATTTATCAAAAAGGAGATTGTCCTGGATTGGCCTGACCTAATCAGGGGAGCCCTTTAAAAAAAGGTGAAATGCAAATGTCCTTATGATAAAAGGATTTTTTTTTCCTCCTGGGTACATGCCCGGTAATGGGATTGCAGGATCAAATGGGGGGTCTAATTTGAGTTCTTTAAGGATTCTCCATACCGCCTTCCAAAAAGGTTGTATTAGTTTGCAGTCCCACCAGCAGTGTAAACGTGTTCCCATCTCTCCACATCCATGCCAGCATATGTAGCTTTGAGATTTTGTTATGTGGGCCACTCTCACTGGGGTAAGGTGATATTTCAGGGTAGTTTTGATTTGCATTTCTCTGATGATTAGGAACGATGAGCATTTTTTCATGTTTGTTAGCTATTCTTCATCTGTCTTTTTTAGAGATGGTTGTATTCATGTCTCTTGCCCAGTGATATATGGGTTTGCATTCTCTGTAGATCCTAGTTATCAAGCTTTTTCCCATTCATAATATGCAAATATCTTTTCCCATTCTGAAGGTTGTCTGTTTGCTTTGTTTGTTGTTTCCTTAGCTGTACAGAAGCTTTTCAGGTTAATCGCCATAATGTGGAAACAGCCTAAATGCCCACCAACCCAGGAATGGATTAACAAGCTGTGGTATATGTATACCATAGAATACTATTTAGTCACTAATAAAGATGGAGACTTTACATCCTTTATATTAATCTGGATGGAAGTGGAACACATTCTTCTTACTAAAGCATCACAAGAATGGAGAAGCAAGAATCCTATGTACTCAATTCTAATACAAAGATAGTAAATGAGCTAAAACAAGAGGGGGGTGTTAGGGGAATGAGCAAATGGAGATAGGGGAAGAGGGAAGGGGATGGGGGGTCATGCTGTATGGCACACCTCTTGGGGGTGGGACACAATTATAAGAGGGACTTCATCTAACAAATGCAATCAGTGTAACCTAATTCTCTGTACCCTCAGTGAATACCCCCCAAAGAAAAACTGTGTCTACAAAAAAAAAGTGAAATGGGCCTGTAATCCTAACACCCTGGGAAGCCAAGGTGGGTTGATTGCCTGAGTTCACAAGTTCCAGACCAGCCTGAGAAAGAGCAAGAGCTCATCTCTACTTGGGAGTCTGAGGCATGAGAATTGCTTAAGCCCAAGAGTTTGAGGCTGCTGTGAGCTGTGACACCGCAGCACTCTACCCAGGGAGACTAAGTAAGACTCTGTCTCAAAAAAACAAAACAAAACAACGAAAAAACCAAAGAAATCTATGAAAAATATTCTTAAGTCTAGAATTACTACTGTAGATAGAAATACTTTCAACTCGGTGTCTGTAGCTCAGTGGATGCTGGCCACATGCATTGGGGTTGGTGGGTTCAAACCTGGCTTAGGCCTACTAAACAATGACAACAACAACAGAGATAGCCAGGCATTGTGGTAGGCACCTATAGTCTGAGCTACTTGGGAGGCTGAGGCAAGAGAATTGCTTAAGCCCAAGAGTTTGAGGTTGCTGTGAGCTTGTGAGCTGTGAGGCCATCCCACTCTACCAAGGGTGACTTAACGAGACTGTTACAAAAAAAAAAAAAAAAGACTTTCTTTTCTATCGAGACAGAGTCTCACTTTATTGCCCTCAGTAGAGTGCTGTGATGTCACAGCTCACAGCAACCTCCAACTCCTGGGCTTAGGTGATTCACTTGCCTCAGCCTCCCGAGTAGCTGGGACTACAGGCACCTGCCGCAATGCCCGGGTATTTTTGTTGTTATTGTTGTAGTTTGGCCGGGGCCGGGTTTGAACCCACCACCCTTGGTATATGGGGCCAGCGCCCTACTCACTGAGCCACAGGCGCCACCCTCTATCAATATTTTTTAAAAGGGTCAAAATATATTGTTTTATAATCATTTTATGTTTCAGTTGTAAATACTCTCAAATTCAACAAGGGTAAAAAGGTAGCACTTTTTAAACTATGTCCTACATTAATATCTGCAAGGTATTAATGAATATTTCAAGAATAAAAACGGCTGTGTTCAAATAGGTTTGGGAAATAATGGTTCTTGCATTCTTCTCTTTCTTGGAGAATTATATATGGAAAAACTTGATGAAATCTGGCAACAAAAGAAAACATTTTAATTTTATTATTTAACATGAAGTTATTCTTACTAGGGACTCTTCCTCTTGTATCTTTCCATTAATAGTATGAATTCAAATGATAGGTCTAAATTACTCCTGCATGAAACAAGTTAACACATATTATCTTCAGTTAGTGCCTTTACCTTTCTTGACTCTAGCATGTTGAATTCAATTATATGGAATCAAAAGTCTTTGACTTCAAGCAGCACATAATTAATTAGAAGGTAAGGATAAGGGTTTATTTAATTACTATGATATATCTGTGAACATAATGCAATAAACAACCTCTTAAAAAATACTTTTATGACTCTTTAGACTAGATCAAGGAACCAGAATTCACACCATCATCAAATATTTACAGCATCATATTTTTGGCACTGCATTTTATCTGGGATTTTCACAAACTAGCATGTGTTTAGAGGACAATTAAAAAAGATGACAGGTTCACCTTGGTATTTTAAACAAGTGAATTGGACATTTTTGTATAGCCATGAAAGGCAGACCAGAATCAAAGCATGGGTGAAACAGGCTGGAAGTCTTTGATCAATAAAAGGATATACTGTATGTGATTTCTTTTCTTTTTTTTGAGATAGAGTCTCATTCCCTTACCCTGGGTAGTGAGATGGGGGTGTCATCATAGTTTACAGCAACCTCAAACTATTGGGCTTGAGCAATCCTCTTGCCTCAGCCTCCCAAGTAGCTGGGACTACAGATGTGCACCACTACACCTGCTTGTTTTTCTTTATAGTAGAGATGGAGTCTTGCTTTTACTCAGGCTAGTCTCAAACTCTTGAGTTCAAGGGATCCACCCAACTTTGCCTCCCAGAGTGCTAGAATTACAGAAGTGAGTCACCCAGCTCAGCACAATTATACTGTAATTTCAAAAAATGACAGCTACCCATAAATATGTTTGGCCTGTTCAACATTTCTTCTCTGGCTATATTTAAGTTAACTTCCTTGAGATATTGTTCAGGGAATTTCCTGTTTTCAGTAAAAGGCTGGTGGCTTCTAAAATCCTATCAGTCACTCTTTTGCTGTGGACTAGAGTGTCTTCAACCATGGCTAAGTAGCAATAAAGTCTCTGCAATAGGAGACAGTCTAGGCCAGTGGTTCTCAACCTTCCTAATGTCCTAATACAGTTCCTCATATTGTGGTGACCTCCAACCATAAAATTATTTTCGTTGCTACGAAATAATTTCATTGCTATGGTTGTGGATCACCACAACATGAGGAACTGTATTAAAAGGTCACGGTATTAGGAAGGTTGATAACCACTGGTCTAGGCAGATTACTTAAACCCAAGAACATTCTATTTTTACAGGAATGGCCTTTGGATATCAATGTGCTTTGGAAAGCAATGTATGAACAATGATTATAAGCTGTAACTCTATACATCAGTCCAAGGCTTGAGCAGATGCATTATAACAGAGCACAAAACAATCTTTGAGATACTTGTGCACTGCCTGTTTGCAGGGACAACGGTACAATATACAAATCAGTAGTGGACTTAATAGAATATGGTATTTCACGAGGTCCCTTTGGGCTGGTAATAAGACCGTTATGGAGCCAAGATTTCTGTACATCATCATCTTATCCAAAGTACATTACCGTCTTCATTATACAGATGAGGGTCATATCCATGCTACTGGAACGAACAAATAGTTTTTAACTGGAACCAGCGCCTGTGTGCTTCTAAGGCTATGCTCTTCTCCGACATTCCATTGCTAAGATAAATTCTCCCTCACTTTTTCTTGGAATTTTGGAGAGGAGCGGAATGAGCATATGCCACTTCGTCGTTGGGAATTCAAGACCCAGGGGCTCTTTTTCTGTGTCAGGATGTGCCCATCTTTATAACTGCGGGGGTATCAAGGATCATTCATCTGCTCGCATGCCATCAGACCAAGACTAGAGAGCTACAGTCACTGCAAAACTCCAGCATATCTGCCCCTCACCGCTCGCTAGCGCCGCTCGGACAGCCGGCAATCTCCAAAAACAGAAAATTGAGCCTGGGGGCTCCGACGGATGACGTTATTTCCGGTGCGCCTTCAAGTCCGGAAGCCAAGGGGCCAGAGGCGAGGTGGAGGCGGGGCCTGAAGTGGGGTGGGTGTTGCTGGAGGCGACCAGGACTGGGGATCTGAGCTCTAGGAGGGAGCTGAGGCGTGGGGCGGGGCCTGCAGCCCGGCGCCGGCCGTTGGGAAGCTGGGTTCCGCGCGGCTCGGCCTCCTGACCGCCCCGCCCGCCACTGACGCTGCCACCAGCAGCCGCGAGAGCTGATACCGGTACCGTCCCTTCTGCGCGGCTGCCAGCTCTGGAACTGCCTTCTTCCTTCTCCTCCTCAGCTTCAGCCTCGGCTGCCCCCTCAGCCCTCGGCGCCGCCGCTGGCGCAGCCGACCTACTCGCAGGCCGCCGCGGGCCGCGGAGCCCATGAAGGCGCGGGCCCCGCCGCCGCCTTCGCGGCGTCGCGGTCGTCCCGGAGCTCCCCGAGCCGGCGCGGGCATGGCCACAGCATGAGCGTGAAGCTGCCACGGGAGCCGGAGGAGAAGGTGGCGTTGGAGTCCGAGGTGGGAGCCATGCCGGAGAAGCGCGCGGGCGCGCAGGCCCTGGGCAGCAGTTGGGTAAGCGCGGGAGCGGGTTGGACAGCCTCAAGACCTGGGGAGGTTGGGTGGGGTAGCATCTGGGCCCGCGAGTTCCCTGCGCCGGGCAGAGGACTCTGGTTCTCGGGAAGGCGGTCCTTTTCTGGGTGACCCTAGTTCATCACTAATACAGGCTTTCCTAGTGGCTCTACATCACTAGACAGAACTTTGGGTGATTTGGTTATTGTTTCCAAAGGCGCCATACACATGACTGTATACAGTGAATATAGTTAGTAATTTGGTTATTTCACAGTTCTCCATTCCTGTGACAGTTGACACAATTTTCGTGGCGCAGTTTCTGCCCAAGCCTACTCAGGCAGCCGGTAGGGACCAGACTTTGAACCATTTAGTGCTACACTACCAAATAGTCGGCAGGGAAGTTGGCAGTGAAGGTTAAGCAGCGCCTTCTTCCTGCTCCTTCCGCGTTCTCCAGGCGTCAGAGGAGCTGTCGCGCCGGTGGGGAGCAGTTTCAGGGGAAGCTACTGATCCCAGGACCTGCTGAGTAACAAGTTCAGGCCGATCTCTTTCTCCAGTTTTACTTGAGATTGAGATGGTTTCTGACAGCAGCGCAGGGAAACCCTGGCTTAATTGACATGGATTTGGTAGAACAGGCCTTGCCAGTAACGCTTTGGTTTCGAATGGTGGAATATACTAAGCGTAGAGGCTCTGTCATTTTTTCAAGGCCTAAGCTTCCCTCTGTTTAGGACCTGGAATATAGAAAATGTTACACTGAATAGAAACTGACACCATGCAAAAGTTTTTCCAGAGAAAAATAGAAATTTTATGAAAAATAAATGGGACTACTCACAGGGGTGTCCCCACAGACCTCATGTGCATTATGTGAGGGCTTTTTTGCTTATCTGTCGTGTCAGATGTCACTAAAATTAGGCATGGACCTTTTTTATTGTTTATCAGCTTTTGCTATTTTTTTTTTTTTTTTGAGACAGAATCTCACTATGTCGCCTTCGGTAGAGTGCTGTGGCGTCACAGCTCACAGCAACCTCAAACTCTTAGGCTTAAGCGATTCTCGTGCCTCAGCCTCCCAAGTAGCTGGGACTATAGGTGTCCACCACAATGCCCAGCTATTTTTTGTTGTAGTTGTCATTGCCTTTTGTTGTAGGATCATTGTTTAGTTGGCCTGGGCTGACAGCTCCGGTGTATGTGGCTGGTGCCCTAGATGCAGAGCTACAGGTGCCGAGCCTGTTTATCATCTTTTGTTAGTATTTGTGTTTTTAATGTGTGGCCCAGGACAACTCTTCTAATGTTGTGCAGAAAAGCCAAAAGGTTGGACACCCTTGGCTGTCTTTTAAAGAATTTATGTGCATATTTATTGATATGAATCCCTGTTAGTAGAGTTAGGAGGGTCTGTGAAGTAGAAGCAGCAGTAATGTGGAGCCAGCAGAGCTAATTTTCAGTCATGGTTCTAGAGGAATAGTGCCTACTGTGGGCAGGGTAATGGACACAACCTTGCCACTCAGTGCTTAAACTGTGAAGTGAGCCTTAATAATGTTGAAGACCCTTACAGCCCAAATGACTCCTTATTTTTGAGAAAGCATTGGTCATCCCTTATTTTAAAGATATCTCCATAATGTAGAAAGTGTATCTTTGGGGGGAGGGGCGGAAAAAGTTGTGTAGAATTGGTTTCTCTGATTTTGATTAGGAAGACTTGTCCTTTTCCTGCCCATTAAAACTAAACCACCAACTTTTCAATCTTCCTTGAATTGATGGACAGTAATTACTAGTGGCAAGCTAGTAATTGGAGAGGTAGCTTTCTTTGCCCTTTCCAATACCTACAACAGCCAGAAAGTCTAGCTAAGTTTATCTTTGCGTGCCTATGGTTTATTTCCTCTATTTTTGACCCAGATTTTGACCATGTTTTTTGAGATCCTTCTTCACCCCTTTACATTGCTAATTAGTGTGATCTAACATGTAAATAATGATCATTGCTGCTGTCTTAATTTTTTTCCATTGGCTCTCTGTGTCTTATAGAATAAAAAATAAACTGCCATGTTGAAGCATTATTAACATAGTGATTAGGCAGGTATGCTTGGAATTTCAGTTTCCACCTTTATTACTTGTGTAACTTTGGTAAGTTGCACAAATTCTAATTTTAAAAGAGTATTTACTGGCTCCCTGCCTGTTGCTCAGCAGCTAGGACACCAGCCATGTAACACTGGGGGTGGAGGGTTCGAGCCTGGTCTGGGCCTGCCAAACAACATTGGCAACTACAACCCAAAAAAAAAAACAAAACAAAAAAACAGCCAGGCATTGTGGTGGGTGCTTTTAGTCTCAGCTACTTGGGAGGCTGAGGCGAGACAATTGCTTTAAGGTGGCTGTGAGCTGTGATATCACGGCACTCTCCTAAGGGTGACATAGTGAGACTCTGCCTTAAAATAAAAAAAGAGTATTTACCTCATAGAATTATGAGGGTTGCTGTTGCCTGACACCTAATAAGTCTGTCTTATGTATTAGCTATTATTGTTATTATTTATCAATATTCTTTACATGTATGATTGAATGATCACAATCTATAGGTTATCCTCTTAATGTGATATTTGTTCTCTTTTATTTCTTAATCCAGATAGGAACTAGACTTCTACCTAAAAATTAAAGTTACTAATTTTATGTCCTTAGAGCAGAAACTTTTTAGAGATGTTTACTCAAAGAAATCCCCACTCTTCTGGTGGGGATAATCTGCTGATTTTGGGCACTAAGTATATTCCTGCCCAGTCTTTCCTTGTGTCTGAGAGTTATACACTCATCAGTATTGACAAACTGCAATGAATGCTGAGAAAGTTTTCTTGGGTGTTTGCTGTAGTTAATGAGATAATTAGCATGGGCAGGTGGCAGTGCTTTTCTGAGTGTATGGAAGCTGGGAAAGCAGTGAATGCCTTTAATCGTATATGTTTGTGTCATATGCTAGTATCTTCAAATTATGCACTTTTCTCGCTTGTAGTTTATGTGTTGGAGATTTCCTTATAGCTTAGTTCCAGAAACACTCATGGTTTTTTGATGCTACTAATAGTCACAGGAAAGACTACCCAAGTCCAGGGAATCAGCTGACAACTTTTTTCTACCTTGTTTGGCAAAGAGTTGAAAAAGCTACTGGCAAGGAGATGTTATGATTCGATAAATGGAAGCGTGTCAACTCTGATATCATTTCTTTACAGAGTAGAGAGGTGTGTATAATCTATAAGCTCTTGTGTTCTTTCTTCTCCGTGAATGTGCATGCACACACACTTTCATATGTTTTATATTTGTATATCATTTAAGTAGATTTGCCAGTACACCCTTCATAGCAAGGGGAAAAAGAAGACCTTATGGAATTATTTAATCTTAGGCATCTGATGAGAATTAAGGATTTGTTGCAGAGACTTGCATTTCAGATTGTTCATGGACTCCAAGAAGCTGATATTTGGATACCAGTTAAGGGGACTGATGTGGGCCCTCAAAGAATCAGTGTCTCTCTGGTGACATTTGATGTCTCTTGTGTTTATTTTTCTTAGACTGTTTCAGAGAAGACTCTGAAGGTTAATGTTGATTTTGAGAACAAGGTGATTATATGGACAAAATGCAGATAATACCAAGGGACAGCTTTGATTTACAAAAAGGGTAAAATGATTAGGTATGTTTTGTTTGTAAAGAGTGAAAGGACTTAGGGACATATTGGGGGAAAAATTGTAAAGATTGTTTTTCAGTTTTTGAACACTGTTAGAAATCAATATGATCATTTCAGTAAAAATTAAATAGTACTAGGACATTCGCACAGCCAAACCCTGTAAGTAAATTATAGCAGATAAGGGGAGAAAATAAAAAGCATTTATGAGCACTTGATATGTTGCAGTTATAAGAGCAAATATGTCATCCATTTATGACAGGAACATTTATATTTCCTGTTTAGAATTATGCAAATCTTCAGTTAATTCATCATCATCAATGCATAACTTGAGGGTACTAGGATATGACACAAAGATATAGGATTAAATGCATTCACTGCTTTCCCAGGTTCCATACATAGAGAAGCACTGCCACCTTTGTCATAACAATTTCTTATTCTTAGGCCTGGTATAGGTAGAATTTTGTAAACCTTGTTTCTTAGAATATTTGGGCATCCGTTCTGTTTTTTCTTAACTAGATAAAGACTTTCAAGACAGACTATAGCTGGGCATTTTTGAATTTGCAGTAGTTCTTTAGGAAGTGATCAATAAATACTTGTTAATGAAGAAGTAAATCATTCAATTGGAGCCTTAAACCAGTAATTATGCTTATCAGTGAGATTAACTTATTGGCTTACTTTTATATAATGGTGCTTCGTTTGGCCTTATAAAACAAATGGGGAGTTCTGGTTTCTTCTGTTCTCTGGAGAGAGTTTGTGTAAGATTGGTAATCTAGTTTGAGAACTCTATAGTTCTTGGCTTTTTTGGTTTTATTATTTAGTTCTGAAACAATTCAGGTTTTCTATTAATTTTTGAATTTTTTTTTCTGTCAGTTTTAATCAGTTGTATTTTGCTAGAAAGTTGTCTGTTTTATCTAAAATTTCAAATTAGGCTTGGTCCCTGTAGCACAGTGGTTACGGTGCTGGCCATATGCACCAAAGCTGGCAGGTTCAAACCTAGCCTGGGCCAGCTAAACAATGACAACTGCAACAAAAAAATAGGTGTTGTGGCAGGCTCCTGTAGTCCCAGCTACTTGGGAGGCTGAGGCAAGAGAATTGCTTAAACCCAAGAGTTGAGGTTGCTATGAGCTGTGACATCATGGCACTCTACTGAGGGTGACATAGTGAGATTAAAAAAATGAGTGAGTCTAAAAAAATAAATAAATAAAATAAAATTTCAAATTGGCATAAAGTTGTTCAGAATAACCTCTCAGGTTCTTTTTACCTTCTGTAAGATCCTTAGTCTACTTTTTTATTGCTGACATTGGTAATTTGTGCCTTATCTTTTAAAAAATATTTACTTTATGATCTTCTGGATAAATATGCA